CTTACTCTGCAGTAAAACCTCATAAAACTTATGGTAAGTGGCACAGTGAGTCGATGTCGTTATGGAACACCATTTCTTTTTAGAACCCAATCTGAAGCGACGAAGCATCTCAACCGGAACAGCAACCTCCGGATCATACCTCGACAGATCAGTAAACATCCTATAATACTCATTAGTTGACATCTTTCCTTGCTTCAAATGAGTAAACTCTTGTTTCTTACGATCAATATACTCAGGAGGAATGAACCTTTTTCAAAACAATTTTTTAAATACTCCCCAGTCCGCAGTCTCTGCTAGGGTCAACTAGTAAGACTCATGTCTCCACCAGGATGCAGGTCGTTCTCTCAAAAACTAGGTATTCATCTCGACCCACCTATCAGGAGAAAGATTCCCTTGACTCTGCATCACAATAAAGGTCTTCTCAATCTGATTAAGCCACTTTTCTGCCCCCTCATGACCTTCATTTCCAATGAAGTGATTCAGTTTCAGGTTGTACACAGTCTCAAGAGGTGTCTTCTAGGGAGGACGGAAAACAGTCTGAAGGGCAGCCACTATAGCTTCCCCTAATTGAGTACTATCAGGGAAACTAGGCTCAACTGAGTGACGGGGCTCTCTACGAGGCGGCATAGTTCTGACGTAGACATCACAAAGATTATAACATTTAAGCATTATACAGGACTGCTAAACCTAGGCTCTGATACCAAACTGACACACCCCGATCGAGATCAATGCATGCTGGCCGCCACGTGAGAGTGACGTAGCCATGTGCACAGTGCGAAAGCAATAATGATAGGAAATATACGAATAATTGGAAACCAAGTTACTAGAGTGCACTACTAAATAGGAAGTGATAGGAGTTAGTTACAAAAGTAAACACTCATAATCAGAGCATAATAAGTCTAGGTACAGTCTAGTAGGACAAGTACTAGTTATACAGTACCAGGAATGTCCCATTATTATTTAGATAGGTCAGAACTGCCGACGCCCTCAAGCTACCAACAACAAGCTTACTTAAAACCTGGAGGGGCGCAAAACAGAAAACGTGAGTGGGCAAAAACAAATGTTTTACAAAACCATTTCATTTAATAACATATCTAACCCCTCACTGTAAAACATGTATAATTTTTCCCAGAATCAAGATATAAGCATATACGTAAATATGTATGAAATCATATCAATTCAATTTATACTTCACATAATCATATTCAAATGTATGCCATGCCAAGATATAATAGAGTAAGCAATTCAGGTAAGAATAATTTCATAGAAATATAACATGTGAGCCAGAACCCCTATGGTAGTCTGTACGGCTGAATTCATAGGTCAAAAGTTACTCTAGCCGGAGTTACTACAATAACCTATACAACAACATACTGCACAAGAGTCGGAACCACACAAAAAAGTCCACACGACAATAATGAGTGTAATATAATTATGCTCAATACTACTCTCACATAATAGCTGGGCGATAAATCGCTAGTCACCTACGAGTTGGAACCATAAATAAGGTCTGTACGACAAGACTGTACACCTAAATTGGATCCAATATGAGCATACGATGCGGAAGGTGACATAATAAACAGGCCTGGGCCATATCTATGGCTAAATCACAATCACCCTAAGTGCAGTTTATGAGCTCAACATTAGGGGTGGGTTCAAAAAATCGAAAACCGAACCAAACCGAAACCAAAAAACCGAACCAAGCGAAAAAAACCGAACTGAATTGGAAAAACTGAACCGAACCGAATTCTTTTGGTTCGGTTCGGTTCGGTTTTAGTGATCTAGAAACCGAATCAAACCGAACCGAACCGAATTAATTAAACTAATTTTTTTATTTAATTATTTGTTTTGGGTATTATTTTCTAAACCCAATTGTAAGTTAAAATGTGCTAAACTCAATGTGTTGCCAAACTTTAAGCTCAAAATATTTTAAAAAGGCCTATAAAAACTCTAAACCCTAACCTATTATTTCTCCCCCATATAAGGTTCTGGAACCAAACCTCATCCTGAAGTACCTATATCCATCTCCATAGCACTGTCTACTTTTGCCCCAACTTTCTTTTCCAAATCTACTCTCATATAACATGTAACAGAATCCATAAACATTTATTTCGGGTAGATTACTTGCGTAATTTGTGATGGAAAAGAATCCAACACACACTAAATAAATCCACCCACGCATTACGTTTACTAATCAAGTTGTCAACATGCAGTTACAAGTTAACACCCCTGATCTTTGAACAACATCATACAATTTAACTTTTCTAAGTCATTTGTACGATTTTTGTGTTGTGAGGCTGTTAGTTTGGACTTTGGAAGACTTGATTGATGATTTTAGTTCAACTTTAAATGTTTATTTTCATTGTCTTTGATTCTAGTTAAAATGCTTATGTTATGATTGTGTTAGAGATGTTAAAATTTAAAATTTCAATGTTTTTCATTTTTTGAAATAAAAAAAAAACAAAAAATCGAAACCGAACCGAAAAAAAACCGAACCGAAAGAAACCGAAAAAAAAATGAACCGAACTGAACCAAACCGAAATTTTGGTTTGGTTTCGGTTTTGGCAAAAAACCGAACCGATTTGAACCGAACCCACCCCTACTCAACATTATTCAATCACATATCATATCATCGATGATTCACATAACCAAACCCAACTTACCTGAGCTTACCTGAGCGTTCACAGCACCACATTTATATATATAAAGCATCGCATACCAATTCACGTATGAATTATAAACTTATATGCATGGCATTTATGGCATACTATAATTTAAACACATATTTCTGGAAAAATATCAAGTATATAAATATATATTGAAAACCAAAAGCCTACTCATTGGTATGTCGACGGGTCGTAATCCCTGAGTCGCCCGTGGATACGCTCGTCCTTGGGATAAGTCTCACCTATATGCGAATTAACTATAAAAACGTTATTTTAAAGCATATTGACAAAACTAGCTAATAACTTCTCATACATAGCTTAAATTGGGTATATGAATATACCATAGTGACCTACACAACCTTAGGATCATCCCTAAATTTTCAAAAAATGTTTTGAAAGCTTCACGCACCCCCACGCGCTGGCGAGTGCATGGCAAAACACGCCGCCACGTGGAGGGAATCTTGACGGATTCCCTAACTGCCGTTAGGAATATTCCGTTAAAACCCAACGGTAATTGTCCAAACTAACTGACGGCGTCAGCATATTCCGTCAAAATTGATGGATTATTCTTTGTCTTCTCCGGCGAGTCGCCGATCGCTGGTGACTTCGCCGGTTTCTGGAAAAATACTTAAATCATCCTAACTTCTTCATTTTTGCACCATTTTCATGAAATTTGAACCATTGGAAAGCTAACAACATGTAGAATCACGTTATACCATTTTTAAGCCTTGAAATCCACTAGAATTTACCTGAGGAAGCTCAATAATCCGGTAAACTTCGAAACTAGCTATCCCGACGTCCAAATTTATCCAACAAACCACCCCGAGCCTCCTTAGGACCTCCTAAAACTCTATATGAGCTTGAAATTCCCTGAAACCAACATATTTACGTCCACATGAATAGTGACCAAAATCGGGGCTAGGGTTTCCACGTGAAATTGAAGGTTTCCTTACCTGAAATTGATACCTTTGAACTCGTAGGGTCCTCACGAACACATTGGTACCATTTTCTTCCTCGATCCGTGAGGTTTGAGAGGTCCTTGGTATTTGTTCGTACAAGAAGAATGAGAGAGTGAGTCTGAGAGATGAGAGAGAGAGCATGGGAAGAAGAGAGAAGGAGTAAGTGTGGTGTGTGTGTGATCCACGTGGTCACCAATCCAAGACCACATAACAACCTCTAAGTCTCAATATGTCACACATACACACTACCATTTTCCTGTCCAAGGATAAAGCTGTCATTTTACACCACTGATAAATGAATTTCGGGATGAGCTGTGACAAAATAGAACAATGGGATGAGGCTTAATAGCACTCTAAAATTAATAGAAAAACATTTAATAAAAATAACACGAGCGCCAAAGACCGTAACCCAAAAACAATTTTGATTGTTTCATTTTTATCGTTTACTTATTTTTTACTAAAATTTCTTTTTTAACTTCAACTTAACTAGCCTCTTACCACATACTTACGCGTGTGACAATTGACCTTTGCATGTTAAATTAAGTTTTTATTATGATTTGAAAATTTTAGAAAATTAAGTTTTTTATTTAAATAATTTTTTTTTGTCACAAAAAAACTATTTAAAAATAAAATATAAGTCAACCATAAACCACCCATTAATTTAACTTCATTTAGTTTAATTGTAAATTTTGAAGTTTTCAACGGCAATTTACGGTATTTTGGATGATTAATATGAGGGTTACAAGGACCAAAACTAAAGTCATCTCCAACCGAAAGAGCTAAGCATAGCCTTGTTCAGAATTATAGCCCTACAAAAAAATTATTTTTAAATAAACAGTGTCAGGCCATACTCATATATCATCTCTAACTGAAGGGGCTAAACATTTCCCCTTCAATAATTTATTAGTTTTCAGTTTATACTTTAAATTTATTAGTTAATTTAATTGAACTACCGTTTTGGATGTTTCAAATCTAGTCATTGAATTTGAATTAATTAATGCAATTGAGGAGCTGGGTCCAAAAAAAAGGGCTAAGAGGGGGGTCTACGGTTGGCTAACCTGATACCCCTTTGGCCAAATAATGGCTTGGTGAGCTTTATAAAATTATAGCCTATCTATTAGTTGGAGATGAGTTTTTGAACAAATCAAATCATTTTTTGGCTTTTGAACCTTTAACTCTTTGTATTGATATGACCTAATCTCCTTACAATTTAACCTTTTAATTAACGGTAAAATAAATAGTATCAGCATTAAACTTTTAGTGTAAAAATATAATTTTTCATTAAAATAAATAATACCGAAAACTTTTCGTTAAAATTCACTTAACTAATCTCTTTATATTTGGATCGGATATGGTTGTTTTTCGCTTTCTTTTTTGTATTAAATTGTCAAGAGAAACGACTTCGTCGAAGACGAGGGTGTTTTGGTAATTAAATTCTGCTAGCAGTTGTTGAAAGGTCGGCCGGCCTGAGATCTTGAATTCCCGTGAGACTGTGACTGTTGAGTGGAATCCTCAAGAACGAAAAAGAAGTAGAAGACGACGACGACGTTTTGGGGAACGAGTGGGGGCGAATAGCAAAAGCTTAGGAAAATGGCGAAGGGACTGCAACAACAACAAGGGCAAAACCTGCCATCGGATTTGACCCAAGTCATTGATCAGCTGGAGCGCCACTGCTTGGCTTCCGATGGTTCTCTCGTCTCCAAATCTGCCTACCTCGACCTCCAACTCGTACTCTCTCTCTCTCTCTCTCTCTCTCTCTCTCTCTTTATATATATATATATATATCTATATACACATACACATATACATATACATTTTCCTGCCTTGTTTGGTTGCTTAGAAAATGTGGCTGCAAACCATAAAAAGCAATGTGGCTGCAGATCCTTTACACAATTTACAATTGATTTGGTTTTTACAAAATGTTGACTGTTTCTGCAGGCAAGGGAGGAAATGTCCCGGGAAAGATTGCGTTACTTGGAAGCCATGGTACTTCTGTTTAATTTTTAGGTTTTTGTTGATTGAACTGGTTGTTTTTATCTGGCATTGATTTTGCAATGTGCGTGTGTGTGTGTGTGTTTGGGTGGTGGGTTTGGATTTTGACGTAGGCATTGTATAGTGAGGCAATTGCAATGGTGGAGGAGTATCAACAAGCAGTTTCAGTGGCTAACCTTGGAGGCATTCGAGATGTGCAAGGTTTATATCTGCAGTTGGGCTTGAAGAACCCTCCTCAGGTGGTTTCAGTTCGACAAACCCTTTGTCCTGCTTTTTGTTTTTGTTTTTGAGATGCATTTTACATTAAGTTTACTCAAGTCATGATTTGGCCCTTCTGATCCTAATTCCGAACAAGTTCTTAGTATCTTGAATTTTAAATAGGAATCTCATTTCAGTTAATTATCTTCTTTTCTATTAGTTTCTGCATCAAATGAATCTGTAGAAGGATGCCATTTAACTCCCATGTAAAGACCAGAGTCTCCATATGATTTCACATTAGTGATATGGATGTTCATGCAAAATCATTAACTTTTATTTAACCGTTAGCTTAAAAGATATCAAAAGTAATAGATTTGTATATTTCATTATCATTAAATGACAAAAAGACAACTCAATCTTCTTTAGTTGCTCAACACCCTTCTATTCTATAACTGAGTTATTAAATTGTCTAAAACGGGTGAACCTGTCCATATCAGTTGTACGAGACATTAGAGCATCGTATGATCGTTTCAGAAGCAGCTCAAAGACTAAGGCTGCCTCTCATCTCCAAAGATGGCGAAATTCATGAGGAAGAAATTGAAAAATGTAGCACAATGTCACGCAGTTCTCTAGAAAGTACTAGTACCAGTGTTACGGTCAGCTCAAGCTCCAACTCAACAAATTATAATACTGTGACTAGCACTGCTGGTGCCGCAAACAACAATCTTTCTCTTAGTGGTACTGATACTCTAGAACCTGGGGTTGGAGGTGTTCCCAATTGCTTTCTTGGAATTACACCTGCATATTTATGGCAAACACAGCTCCAACAAACACCATTGTCAACGGTACAAACTACATTATGGTTCTGGCAATAGTTCACTTTCTTTATTTTCATTTTATTTACTTATGTTTTATTTTCTCCAACCAAAAATATCTTTTCTTTATAGAATCTGTTACTTTTACTTGTTTGTAATGTCATAGCAAAAAGATCTAACCTTGGCGAAGCTGTCCCTTATTTATTGGAAATTGAGATACATCTGCAATGTTTCAACTACAGGATATGACAGAATACCAGTTGTGTCTTTCCCAAGAGATTGAAGCTCGTCTAAAAGCTAAATGTGATAAGCTAGCTGATTCCTTTGTAATGGATGACATTGGTCTCTCTCTCTCTCTCGCTCTCTCTCTCTCTCTCAACTGTCTTTTGTGTCAAAGTGTCGATCAGAGGCATATTTCCATTTTGCTTTCCTTTGTAAGGGATGACATTGGTCTCTCTCTCTCTCTCTCTCTCTCTCTCTCTCTCAACTGTCTTTTGTGTCATAGTGTCGATCAGAGGCATATTTCCATTTTGCTTCATATATATTCTGGAGAGAGAATATCCAGATTGACTGTTCTAATGCAAAAATTTGTGTGATGATATTCTCTTTCCAGCAGGGGGCATGTGGTGATTGAGTTTGCTAATATCTAAAGTTAATGGTAAAATTATTATATGCTTACCCATGCATAAATGCTAATGTTTAAAGGCATTGACACTGCTTTGTTGCTGCAGACTCGTCATCTGGGCATCAAAATTCAAGTTCTCGGCTTCCAGAAAGGTTTGAGTTACGCTCTTGATACGGTGTTGGTTGTATGAGAATTCCTTTTCACATGGGGAAAGATGCTTTTTAATGATGCTTGGAATCTTATTTGACATGTACAATAGTCTGTTACATAAGCAAGTAGAAGATTGGAGTAGGTGCATTTAAATTTTAAAGAAAATGCTTAACTACTCAATGGCTCAACATGAGTATTGCTTTTTCCTTTTTACTAAAATATTTATATTTCATTCTCAAGATTAATGGTTGACTCATGTTTAACACTACTATTTTAGAGACTGAACATAATGTGAGTGGCAAAAGCTTCCATACTTCCTGCTCTTTGCTTATGTGCAGTGCTTTGATAAACCAAAGCTTGTGGTGAATCTATAAATTTCTAGAACCACTGTTCTAATATTCTGCTAATAGTGTGATCCATAATTTGTTCCGCCTTTCTAATGACTTTATCAGGGTAAAGTTGATAATTGATGATATGGAAAGGGAGGAAACAGCTCTGCGGGAAGATCTATATTCTGCAGATAGAAAATTTGCTGAATATTATAATGTACGGATATAAATTAAAAAACATTGTTTCATGTTTTTGAAGTTACATACCAGAGCATTTTGTTTTGTGACGATATGGTTTTTTCATTTATTTATAAGGTTGTGTTTTTGCAAAACCTAGGTCCTGGAGCAGATACTGGGAGTGCTTATCAAGCTGGTCAGAGATTTGAAGTTGCAACATCAACATAAATATGTAAGCTTCCAATAATGCTGATGGTTGATGTGTTTTCAATAACACAAACAATATCCCTTCAGCTTTTTTTTTTTTTTTTTTTTTCAAGTGTCTTTTCTCTATGATTCAGTATTCCATTTTATTGAGCATTCTTGAACCTTATTATAATTAATAATTTATAGGATGGACTGCAAAAAACATGGCTGTGCAAAAGGTGTGAGACCATGAGTGCAAAATTGAGGTTCGTTGGTGGTTTTCCATACTATAAATGTTTATTTCTGGCATCAATGTTGCTTAACTTGTAATTTCCTATATGTTTATGAAGTATGTTCTTTGTGATGCTTCTTGTGCAAACAGACAACATTCATCAGTCACCACTGGCTGTACTTGTGGTTTCCGTTTATTGAGATAAAAAAAATAAATTAATTAATTGTATGTCATGACTATAATCGCTGGAGTGCTTCATTTTATTTCAGGGTCCTAGAGCATGTTCTCCTTCTGGAAACTTATACTAAGGAATCAATACCGGCCCTACATAAAATAAGGTACCTATCGATGATTATTTGAAAGTATGTGTGGCTTACTGGTTCGAGGTTATTTTAATAATTTTTTAACTCATTTGTAGGAAATATCTTCTTGAAGCTACAGAAGAAGCTTCTATTGCATATAATAAAGCGGTATGATCTTCTAATTCATGTCTCTTATTTCCTATGTGGTTTATGTTCATGCTTTCATGAGTTGCTTTTATATATATGTGCCCCAACCAAGGACCAAAATATCGATAATATCGGCGAAATATCGCCGATATTATCGTTTTTGTGAGACACCAATATTTTCACACGTATCCACTGAAAAATCGTCCAAATATCGCGATATTATCTATAATATCGCGATATTACCGATAATATCGCGATATTTGAGGCTGGTGCGAATCGGAGAAGAACGCCGAAGCTTCTACAGCTCCGGCCGATTGTAAAAAAGCACCCTAGACTCCGATCTAGGTATTAAAATGAAATACAAGATGAGAGGAATGTTTTTATAATTTTCGTTTGCCGTGAAACGGTCGGAGGTGTTCGGAAAGTTCCTCGACACTCACGGCCTCGCCGGAGAGTTCCTGGGTTCCACTGTCCTAGCTGCACCGAGAGAAAGGGAGAGAAAGACGAGGTTTAGATGGTGATGATGATGCCTTTGACGGAGTACTACGAAGGGTGTAGAGGGCGTAGAGTTCACGGGAGATGGAGACGGCACCGACGAGGCGGAAGACGCGGACAAGGAGGAAGGCGAACAGAAGGCCATGTGGGAGAAGGATCGAGAGACTGAAGTCTCTGTGCGTGTGTGTGGGAGAAGGGAGAAGAGAGAAGGATTGAGAGATCTCTGTGTGTGTATGGGAGAAGGGAGAAGGGAGAAGAGAGAAGGATCCAGAGAGAGACTGAAGGGAGAAGAGAGAAGGATCGAGAGAGAGAGACTGAGGTCTCTGTGTGCGTGTGTGGTGGCGTGTGATGTGAGAGTCTCTGACTCTGTGTGTGTGTGTGTGTGTGTGTGGTGGGTGGCGTGTGAGAAAAAAAGAGCATCCAAATAATTCAAAACCCTGATAACTTTTACAACTTGTACAATTTTTGACGAGACAAAATAACGATAGTTTCATAAAGATTCAAAATCGTGTGCCATGCGTGATATTCTTTCACATTCTCAGAAGTGGAGTATCAGATCATCACACATTTTTTGACCATTTGAAAATTGAAAAACCTCTATTACACCTTTTCGTTTCTTCTTCTTCCCTTAGCCCTTTCAGAGTCATTCCAAATCCATTCCAGAGCCATTTCAGAGCTTCAAATTGAATAAATGGATCTGCAGCTCGCGCCACTCCAAATTAAATGTTAAATACCTTCTTTCTCTCTCATTTATTCATAGATGGCAAGCTGCAGAGGATCGTCGAGGTTTTGCTGCTACGTACGACATCGAAAGTTCCAGATTTGTTACATGTGTAATTATTATTTTATTGTTGCTCCACGCAGATTCTATTTGGCCTTTACACAAAGGGTTCCATATTTAAGGTAAGTTTACGAACTTATATTTATATTATTGTAATTGATACAACAAAAAAATTTGTGTGGATCCGTCCATGTGATCTAAGAACCAAATAATACTTGCATTTTAATTTTTTGAAGTAATTAAGTAATGTTGTATAATTATTCCCTAGAATAATTTTAATATGTTTAATGTTATTTGTTATTTTATTATCAAATTGAATTATTATTCATTAATATTAGGTTTTATTATTCCATATTATTTTTATAATTACTTAAATTCTTATAATCATTTTCTTTACTTCCTATTTAATTCTTCTGTAGAATAACTTTACTTCCTATTTTCTTTACTTCCTATTTAATATGTTTTCGTCACTACTATATTTTTTGGCCAAAAAATAATTGCCTAATTTTTGTGAAAAATAAATATAGGTACGTTTAAGATGTCCAGTGGAGTTACTAAACGTGATCTAGGTTGGGAACATGGAGACCCAATAGACGGAAACAAACATGGCACAATTTGCTAATATTGTGGTCTGGTAATGAAGAGTGGCGGAGTGACACGACTTAAGTACCATCTTAGTGGATTAGATTCAGGAAATAATGTCCAATGATGCAATAATGTCCCCTCAGAAGTGAAGGTATTCATCATCACATTATTAAAAAAATAAAAAACAGCATAAGGAAAATATAACACATGGAATGAAAAATATTCGAGCTAGGCTACGAGGAGAAGTCATTGGTCAAGCGGTTGACAGTGATGACGATGACGATGAGGACGAATGTGATAATAATATGGAACCTGAAGAACGACGCAGTTTCAAACAAGTATTACGTGCCTCCAAACAGTTAGCATAGGAAAGAGAACACCTTCATAAAATTCCTAATAGAGCATAAGGTTCCGGGACAAGTGGTGGTGCACAAATGAGACGGGAAGCAAGTGTTAGAGAATCACAACCAACACCACCAATAGCCTCAAGTTTATATAAGTCATCCAAAGCACGTCAAAATAGTGTTTGGAGTTATTTCACTGGAGGTAATGTGAAAGAGGTAATGGGGCGTCTAATTAGCAAGTTCTTTATCTATGAAAATGTCCCTGCTGAGAAGGTATCATCACATCATTTCAAAAATATGGTATTGAGATGTCAACAAGCCGGTGTTGGAGTACAACCTCCCACTCCTTATGAGGTAAAAAACAAATATTTGGACATGGAGTATAAAGACATTGACGAGTATGTTAACAAGTTGAGGTCAAAGTGGGAAACTAATGGTTGCACAATAATGTGTGACGGATGGACTGGCCCGACCAGATTGTCTATCATAAACTTCATGGTATACTCCAAGGGAAAGACAATTTTTTTGAAGTCTGTTGATGCTTCAGACCATATAAAGAATTACAATTATATTTACAATTATTGAGGGATGTAATCATGGAGGTGGGAGAGCATAATGTTGTTCAAGTCGTGACCGACAACGGTTCTGCATTTGTTAAAGCTGGAAAAAAAGTTAATGAAGCATCATAATGTGTTTTGGACATCATGTGCAGCACATTGTATTGATCTTATATTTGAGGCAATGGGGAAGAGAGAATATTGCTACTGTCGTAAAAGGAGTTAGAACAATCACAAATTACATTTACAATCACGGTTGGTTGTTGGCAAAGATGTGTGAATTTTGTAAAAGAGAAATTATTCGTCCAGCTACTATTCGATTCGCCACCAACTATATTGCATTAGACAACCTACTTAAGAAGAAAGCAGGGTTGAAGCAATTATTCACTAGTGACGATTGGGCCAACCACAATTTAAGCTGCTCAAATGCAGGTCGTATGGTGGAAAGTATAGTGCTTGATCATGCTTTTTGGACTCAATCAGAACATGTGTGCCAAGTGTTTGAATCTCTTTACAAAGTTTTACGGATCGTTGACACAGAAGTGTATCCTACTATGGGGGCAATATATGAGTTGATGCGTGTAGTGAAGGATGACTTGGAAAGAAAACATGGTGCAAGGTGGATCATGAAGATAATTGATGATCGAATTATACCACGATTTGCATGTAACATGTATAAATTATGTCATAATTTGCAAAATATCGATGATATCGGAAATATCGGTAGTCCAAAAACACGGAAATATCGATGGAAATATTGGGATATTATCAATATCGATAAAAATTGAATAAAAATCACGAAAATTGTAAAAAAAAACTTGGAAATTTTTGTTGAAACTTTGCAAGATGTTTATTTAGTCAATTATCTATTAGTTTATCACAAAAGATTGGAAGGAAATGCATTGCATGATGGATTTAACTGATTTAAGTTAATTATATTGCGAGCTGGCAAATATTGTGAGTAGAAAATATGTAGTAATTAATGAAAAAAATTTAAACACACAATAATCATTTATATATAATGAATTAGTACAATATTTTACACTTTATACATTGCATGGTAAGATACATGAGTGACTTAGTACCACATAGAGTTCCTATGAGGTTCAAAATTTTCACTAACTTCATCATCTCTATGTGTAGAGTAAGTGTATTGTGAAGAGTAGTCATCAAATGATAAATCCCTAAAATAGTTTTGCATGTAATTGTTAACATGTCATCCATATGGATCCGATATTGGTTGACGTTGTCCATAAGCAAAAATCATTTGAAGATTGAGTCTCAAATTCTTTCCATGAGTCGCTTGATTCCATCCCAACATGAATGAGATATGAAGGGTAGGGAAATGGTTGGTTATGAGTATAACCATAATTACTACTTCCCACTCCAACAGAGTCTGAAGTTATAGATAACGAGTCATTTTCTTGAGTTGACAAAATCCCCTTGCCTCTTTCTCTATGAGTATAGTCCTTCCCTACGCATCAATTCCTGGTCCTGCCCGCTGACTGCCATGGTCCTCATCCTGTGTTGCATACGTGAAGTTTGCCTCACTAGTGAAGGGGCTCATAAATCCGGGAGGTGGTCCAACATAGTTTCCATATCCACCACTATCTCCAGCTCCACTATATCCTTCATCATGCCCACCTCCGGTTGTAGGTGAGTCTCCTGATCTTGTAGTAGAGCTATCATTAGTATCAGCATGATCTTGTGGTTGTGTAGGATTGGAAGAAGGTGGAATTCCAGTGTTTCTTGGTCTTGGGCGCAAAAGTTCTTCCAAAGAGTCAGCGCTGCTAGATCCCACCTCCTCCTCTAATACTCTTTCTACATTTATTCCTTCATTGCGTGCTTTTTCAGCAACTCTGGGAGCTGGGTTGCCTTCATCATCATCTAAATGAAGAGGTCTAATCCATTGATAAAGTTGGTTACTCTCTGTATCATCTTCAACAACAATATCAAACACATAGAGTGGGTCACCACGGTCGACATGATCTGTTTCTGCTTCCTTATCTTGAATTTGAAGCTTCATGCTGTAATAGCAATAAACTAATTTTTCCAACCGACTATGAGCCAACCTATTTCTTTGCTTTGTGTGTATGAGTGCAAATGTACTCCAATTTCTTTCACAAGCAGATGAGGAAGCTGTTTGTGATAATACTTTGATTGCTAACTTTCTCATAGTTGGTGCATCAGTCCCATACATGATCCACCATTCAGCTATAATGAACAACAATGTTGATAAGCCTAATAACTCTAACAAATTCTATTATAAATTGATAGTGAAATATGTTTACACTCACTAAGAGACATTTTTGTTCGAGCAACAACTGATGTTGGTTATCCAAAAGTTCTTCTTGCATCTTTAAACCATGTTAGCTGAATTCAATAAATCGTGTTCGTTTAATCCAACAATGTAATTATTATAATTTAAGTAATTGTTTACCTCATTTTCAAATTGGCCAACTGCTGGTGATGCAGGGTCTAATTTAGAGTATACATTATGTACATCACGTATAAGGGTACCATCATCTTCAAAACCGGGTTTGTATTGGTATCGATGATTCAAATAATATGTTGTTCAAAGAAACACATACTCTAATAAGAGAAATAATACTTATGCAACTAATGAAATGAATTGCAAATTATGACATAATTTATACCTGTTGCATGCAAATCGTAGTATAATTTGGTCATTAATTATCTTTATGAACCACCTTGCACCATGTTTTCTTTCCAAGTCATCTTTCACTACATACATCAACTCATATATTGCTCCCATAGTAGGATACACTTATGTGTCAACGATTCGTAAAACTTTGTAAAGAGGTTCAAACACTTGGCACACATGTTCTGATTGAGTCCAAAAAGCATGATCAAGCACTATACTTTCCACCATACGACCTGCATTTGAGCGGCTTAAATTGTGGTTGGCCCAATCGTTACTAGTGAATAATTGCTTCAACCCTGCTTTCTTTTTAAGTAGGCTGTCTAATGCAATATAGTTGGTGGCGAATCGAGTGATAGCTGGACGAATAATTTCTCCTTTACAAAATTCACGCATCTTTGCCAACAAACAACTGTGATTGTAAATATAATTTGTGATCGTTCCAACTCTTTTTACGACAATAGCAATATTCTCTCTCTTCCCCATTGCCTCAAACATGAGATCAATACAATGTGCTGCACATGATGTTCAAAACACATTATGATGTTTCATTAACTTTTTTCCAGTTTTGACAAATGTAGAACTGTTGTCGGTCACGACTTGGACAACATTATGCTCTCCCACCTCTATGATTACATCCCTCAATAATTTGTAAATATACTTGTAGTTTTTTATATGGTCTGAAGCATCAACAGACTTCAAAAAAATTGTCTTTCCTTTGGAGTATACCATGAAGTTTATGATAGACAATCTGATCGGGCAATCCATCCGTCACACATGATTGTGCAACCATTAGTTTCCCACTTTGACCTTAACTTGTTAACATACTCGCCAATGTCTTTATACTCAATTTCCAAATATTTGTTTCTTACCTCATAAGGAATGGGAGGTTGTACTCCAACACCGGCCTGTTGACATCCCAATACCATATTTTTGAAATGATGTGATGATGCCTTTTCAGCAGGGACATTTTCATAGATAAAGAACTTGCTAATTAGACGACCCATTCCCTCCTTCACATTACTTCCAGTGAAATAACTCCAAACACTATTTTGACGTGCTTTGGATGACTTATATAAACTTGGGGCTATTGGTGGTGTTGGTTGTGATTCTCTAACACTTGCTCCCCGTCTCATTTGTGCACCACCACTTGTCCCGGAACCTTGTGCTTTATTAGGAATTTTATGAATGTGTTCTCTTTCCCATGCTAACTGTTTGGAGGCACGTAATGCTTGTTTGAAACTGCATCGTTCTTTAGGTCCCATGTCATCATCACATTCGTCCTTATCGTTATCATCATCACTATTAACCGCTTGACCAATGACTTCTCCTCGTAGCCCAGCTCGAATATTTTCCATTCCATGTGTTATCTTTTCCTTATGCTGTTTTTTTTATTTTTTTAATAATGTGGTGATGAATGCCTTCACTTCTGGGGGGACATTATCGCATTTTTGGACATTATTTCCTGGATCTAATCCACTAAGATGCTACTTAAGTCGTGTCACTCCGCCACTCTTCATTACCCGACCACAATATTTGCAAATTGTGCCATGTTTGTTTCCGTCTATTGGGTTTCCATGTTCCCAAGCTGGATCACGTTTAGTAACTCTACTGGATATCTTAAACGTACCTATATTTATTTTTCATGAAAATTAGGTTATTATTTTTTGGCCAAAAAATATAGTAGTGACGGAAACATATTAAATAGGAAGTAAAGTTATTCTACAGAAGAATTAAATAGGAAGTAAAGAAAATGATTGTAAGAATTTAAGTAATTATAAAAATAATATAGAATAATAAAACCTAATATTAATGAATAATAATCCAATTTGATAATAAAATAATAAATAACATTAAACATATTAAAATTATTCTAGGGAATAATTATACAACATTACTAAATTACTTCAAAAAATTAACATGCAAGTATTATTTGGTTCTTAGATCACATGCACGGGTCCACACAATTTTTGTTTTTGTTGTATAAATTACAATAATATAAATATAAGTTCGTAAACTTACCTTAAATATGGAACCCTTTTTGTAAATGCCAAATAGAATCTGCGTGGAGCAACAATAAAATAATAATTACACAAATGTAACAAATCTGGAACTTTCGATGTCGTACGTAGCAGCAAAACCTCGACGATCCTCTGCAGCTTGCCGTCTATGAATAAATAAGAGAGAGAGAAGGTATTTAACATTTAATTTGGAGTGGCGCGAGCTGCAGATCCATTTATTCAATTTGAAGCTCTGAAATGGCTCTGAAAGGGTTAAGGGAAGAAGAAGAAATGAAAAGGTGTAGTAGAGGTTTTTCAATTTTCGAAGGGTCAAAAAATGTGTGATGATCTGATACTTCACTTCTAAGAATGTGAAAGAATATCACGCGTGGCACACGGTTTTGAATCGTTATGAAACCATCGTTATTTTTGTCTTTGTCAAAAATTGTAAAAGTTGTCAGGGTTTTGAATTATTTGGATGCTTTTTTTTTCTCACACGCCACCCACCACACACACACAGAGTCAGAGACTCTCACATCACACGCACACAGACCTCAGTCTCTCTCTCGATCCTTCTCCTTTTTGTTTCTCTCTGGATCCTTCTCCCTTCTCCCACACACACACACAGATCTCTCGATCCTTCTCCCACGCCCAGAGACATCAGTTTCTCGATCCTTCTCCCACATGGCCTTCTGCTCCTCCCTCGCCTTCCTCCTCGTCCGCGTCTTCCGCCTCGTCGACGCCGTTTCCATCTCCCATTACCTCTACGCCCTTCGTAGTACTCCGTCAACGGCATCATCATCACCATCTAAACCTCGTCTTTCTCTCCTTTTCTCTCGGTGCAGCTAGGACAGTGGAACCCAGGAACTTTCCGGCGAGGCCGTGAGTGTCGAGGAACTTTCTGAACACCTCCGATCGTTTTATGGCAAACGGAAGTTATAAAAACATTCATCTCGTCTTGTATTTCATTTTGAGATCTAGATCGGAGTCTAGGGTGCTCTTTTACAGTCGGCCGGAGTTGTAGAAGCTCTGGTGTTCTTCTTCGATTCACACCAGCCTCAAATATCGCGATATTATCGGTAATATTGCGATATTTGGACGATTTTTCAGTGGATACGTGTGAAAATATCAGTGTCTTATAAAAACGATAATTTCGCCGATATTTTGGTCCTTGGCCCCAATAGAGACATTTATAATGATATAACAATCATTCCAGCCTTCTAGCAGCACTGTAGGCTGCTTCTTGTAATATTGTATTTTCCCGAAGATTTTACTTTTAGCTTGATTACTGCAGTGTTTCATGTCTATTGTGCCTGCTTGTCTGTAATTGTTGCTTCAAACTTATTTAGTGTTAGACTTTTGGATTTTCTTGATGAATTTGATGAGATAAGAAAGTTTTCAATCTGCCTTTATTTCTATATCACTTGTTACTGGTTATGTAGAGCATCTTTATGGTCTCCCTAAATGAGCTCCTAGCTAAAATGTATAAAAAGGAAAAATTCATCTCCAATCACACACCCCATCATACTCCTAGCTCTAGCAGCTCCTAAATCTGGGGAGTGAGAAAGGAGCTCCTAACATTAATTACTAACAAGATTTTATATAAAAAATCTATATCTATTGGTTCACGATCCTTATGACTCCCTAAATTAGAGAGTACGGTTGCAGTAGAAATTTTCTAGGTAGCTCCTAAAATAACTTTCTAGTCTTCTTAGCTTACTTGAAAATATTGAGCTGGTTGTTGATGCTCTTGACATTGTAGATATTGTGAACATGTAGATGTTCACGACGTCTATAAAAAATGCTTAAGTTGCTAATATATAGTTAAGATATGCTAAGCCAAGTGTTCTGACATGTATACAAGTTACTTAACCTCATCATTTTGTTACTTTTTTCCTACATCTCTCCTGCTGGCTTTCTTTAATAATCTATGATTCATATTTCTTTTAACCAGGTTACACGTCTCCGGGAGTACCAGGGTGTTGATCCTCACTTTGATACAATTGCAAGGCAGTACCATGATATTATAAAGGTAACAACAATGCTTACAGTTGTACATTACCTGCTACCCGTGTGCAAGTCTAATATCAACATCCCCTTGCAGAAATTGGAAAATATGCAGTGGACAATCCACCAAGTTGAAATGGACTTGAAACGCCTCCCAGATCACGCAAATGCATAAAGGTAACAACAGTTCTTTGATTGACTTTTGTTTGTGCTTGTAGTTATAAGCAAGATTGGTCAGACATTTGAGTAGCGACTGCTGATCACATTAAAAGAATTGTAAACATCTGCCCACTTTTATATTCTCAGATGCATTTTTTGTTTTGGTTTCTGATGGAATCCAAAGCCTTGTACAAAACCCGCAACTGCATGGTCTGCATCCCTTCCTCCAATGCCAAATCCACTCCCAGTGCGTTTACTTGGTTTTCTGAAGTAATGTGATCCACAACACTTGAGAGAATAGTCTCCAAAGCCACCCCCAATCCATTTAGAGATGAAGCAATGCTTGATGTGTTTTTAGGAAACTCAGTGTAATAAATCTATGTAATACTAATTGTGCAGTTTTGACTTAACCTTTTTGAATTGCTTTTTTGAGTCTCACATCTTCAACTATTGTAAATCAAACCGAAATGAACCGAACCTACCCCTAATGATCAAGATCAAGTTTAAATCATCTTTTCTTAAAATGCAACTTAACCAACAATTGCTCTGAAAACAAAACAAAAATGAAATCATTAACCTTAAAGTAAAATGATGATTTAAATTTATTTAATGTTGGAATTTGGGATTAACTGTGATCATCTAATCTGCATCTGGAAGAAATCTTTGCTTTGGAGTGGAATTAGGAGAAGAAAAATCTCTGCGCTTTTTTACTCTCTCCGCATTGAAACCCAGCGTCTCTGTGGTGGGATGGGAGGCATCATTATTGTCTTGAAATAGTTACACAGCAAATTCAATCATACATAAACAAGCAAGAGTCACAAAAGAGATATTCACACACAAGGATTTGTGCCCGGAAAATCTTTAACTGGGTAAAAAACCGGGGGAACTCCCAAGATTTCCATCCACTAGCGAAATAGCAAGTTCATACAGAGATAAACACACACACACACACACACGCACAAGCTAAAATCCTAGGCTCAACTAAAGGAGCATCTTGTTCCTCTCTGCAACTTGAATTTCTTTGAGCAGATGCGGATTCAGTCTTCACAAATTGGGGCATCTTGTTTTCCTGAGCTCTGCACTTGTTTCCAGTGAAAATGTTTGAATGCAAGATGATGCAGAATGCAGATTCAAATATGAACAGCTTTCTTCAATGCAACATCAACAGATTGAAGAAAACTGAATATGAATCTTGGCCTCCAAGTCTATATGCAAGTTTTGATAGTCAAGCTCATAAATCACTCTCATTCTGTGAAAAATGTTAGCTCAAAGAAGAAAGTTTCTGTAGGGTTTCTAAAAGTTGTGGGGATTTAATGGGATCCGGTGCGTGTGAGTTGGTATGATTGCATCCAAATTAGGTTACCCATTGTGTGGCCTAGCCGAACTCCCCCTCCCCTTGGTGTAAAATATATCGTTATAGAAAAAGTTGCGGGGATCGGAACCACCTTGAGTTGAGAGCTGAGCTCTTTTTTATACTCCAGCAACCCTAAATGGTGATGCAATGATGATCGTACAAAATTCCACATGAAACTTTGGGTATTTCTGTGGCAACTTACTCAAAGACACTTGTCTCACAGAGGACATGAAGAATAGGATAAATGCTAACTCAGTAGAATGAGAACGGGTCACATGATTATTTATTTGAAAGGATGCACGTGCCCATACTTAACTAGGCAAACAACATTAGGAATCGAAGTGGAGCGGGAGCAATATATTATTCTGTTTATGTTCGTAACTATATCAAACAATGGATGCAAGTAAACAGAGGGGAGGGAGATTGGTATTCTAACTTTCACTTTGATCTTGTTGTGTTGCCACGAGGATACAAACATACCTCTATGTATAGAGAGATCTTGATCCAACAACACCTCACATGCATAAAGAAAAAATTTCATCTCCCTAAGACTTTTTCACCTAAAACTTTCAACTGGTTGTCACCAAAGTCCATTTTGGTTTGCTTCCCCATACAATCATATGTGTGACATTCACACTATGTTTCACAACATATTGAAGTTTTTAAAATTATAACATGACACGAAAATGTTTCTCAATAAATATAAAAAAAATGGTAACAACTTAAAAACCCTAGTTCACACATTTTTCATGTACATCAGTTAGAGGGAAATACATTTCCGGTCGTGTGTAGAGAAATGAAGGTGAAGTTTAGAATAAAAGTCATAATTTTTAACTCTTGATTGGATTTGTAAATTTAGAAATTCAGAAATTTCGCGTAGAAGAAGAAAAATTGGAATCTATTAAGTCATAAATCCTGCTTCAATTATTGGTTTGGTATTGCTGTGCTTTGAAAAAAAACTGATTTTGTTGTGTTGTGAGAATAAGCTCATTTTTGTTGCTTCACGTATTTAGCTTTTTTACCCAAAACTGTGAAAATAAGCTGTTTTTAAGTGTTTACCAAACACCATTTTGAACTCAGCTTTTTTTGATAGCCACTTTTTATAAAAACACCTCAATACCAAATCAGTATAATCTTTGCATTCATGTGAGTCAAATGGCTGAGAAACAAGTTCTTGTTTAAAGACGAGCAACAAAGACCATCCAAAAAGAGAAAGAAGGGGTCTTTTGATATGTACATCCATCACCAACAAGCGATGTTGATTAGCCAAGCTCTCTCCCGGTATAACTTTGCAATCCTTACAAGTTATACTATCCCCTTTCCTCATTAGAAGAAAATCTATTTGTGTTTTTAACGACCCACTCTTGTAGGTGATCACATGTTCTTCTCTCTTCTTAAAGAAGATGTTGGCTAAGAAGAGATCATATGCCATTGCAAAATCCAAGATAGCTTCCCCATCCTCGTTTCTCTCCCCAAAACCATGGCCACCCTGAAAACCTTCATAGTTGCCTGTCTCCCTGCCCACGTGTCCATTTAAATCTCCTCCTATAAATAACTTCTCCGTCTGGGCAATTCCTTGCACCAAGTCTCCAAGGTCTTCCCAAAATTTCTCCTTCGAACTCGTATCCAACCCTACTTGAGGTGCGTACGCACTAATCACATTGATGAGTTCTTGTCTTATTACATTCTTGATTGCCATGATTCTATCTCCTACCCTTTTGACATCTACAACATCTTGTGTCAAGGTCTTGTCCACGATGATGCCAACACCGTTTCTCGTTCTATTTGTGCCCGAATACCAAAATTTAAATCCTGAGTTTTCTAGATCCTTTGCCTTAAGACCAACCCACTTAGTTTCTTGTAGGCACATAACATTTATCCTTCTCCTCACCATAACTTCCACTACTTCCATAGATTTTCCCGTTAAGGTTCCTATATTCCACGTTCCTAAACGCATTCTACTCTCTTGAACTCTACCCTTCTGTCCTAGCTTCTTCACCCTCCCCCGTCCAATAGGATCAAAGTACTTTTTTTGTGTGTCCTGTGTAAAGTTGATAGGAGCATATGCTCCCAAACAACTTTGAGTGGAGTCGTTCGAAAAGAAGTTTCTATGGCCTCCTTGCTCATTTAACACTGCATCCGGGTGCCGATGGAGATACAGCGACCCTTGCTCACTTATCACTGTGCACGGGCCACACAGCGCGCCACTTACGGGTGACGCCCTAGCTTTAGCGCGATTTCGTTCTGGATTCATTTTCATAAGGATTCGACGTAACTGAGGAGTGCCGGCTGTCGACTACCTGACGCCTTCCCCCTTTTCCTTTACCCGGGCTTGGGACCGGCAATGTAAGATAAACTTACACAGGCGGAGTTTCATGTCAGACACCAGAAGGATGCAAATCCTCCTGCATCCTTAAACTATACCCATAACCTTTCCCACCCTCTTTCATCTCTTCTAAGTTCCATTTTTCATCCCACTCTGTTTCCACCAGGAAATGGTCTAAACCAATATTTTGTTTGGGACTTTGTTTTGCATTTGTAGCGTTCTAGTGTGGCTTTCTAGTGTTTGAGTAGTTCATTGGTAATATTGTAATGCGTTTTCAAGAATAAAGTCAAAATCCTTTGGGACTTTGAAGTCCCTCGTCCAAACGTAGCGTTAGTTTTCAATGGGAATTCTCGTCATACTAGTAGCCTACAGTTAATGGTACCTTAGTAATAATGTTCTTGGTTCAAAGTTGAGAAGGTGGCATTTGACTCGGGAACCTATTCCTGATATCCCAAGTCTACTACTTTTCACTTTTGTTAACATATCCTGAATACTATTGCACAGAAAAATAGGTTCCAGAAAAGATTATATCAGGCATTTGCCTGGAGAATAGATAACAGTATCACATTAGCATCAAAGAAAAGAAAGCACATTCCAGAGATTACAAATGCTAACTATGTACTGTTCAGACATAATCAGTATCGAACTTAGATATGATTCTTTATTTTTTTATTTTTTTTTATCGAATCGAACTTAGATATGATATAATTAGAAACGGTTGAGATTTGTCCAACAGCTGAGAAACAAGTTTTAGTTTAAAGAAAAACAATGGGAAACAAGTTACTTATAGACGAGCAATGGACAGAGGCAAAATGCTGCCTGTTTCCAATCCTACTTTTACATCAAGTGTTTTGCAGAAAAGGTTTGAGTTGAAGGGAGAAAAGCACTCCCAACGTATATACAGTCAAAGAAAAGGAAGAAAAGCAGCTTTAGAATCATTATACACATACAGCTTTAACAAACCCATAATATTATTACGACATTCAAGCAGAAGCCAACCTTACTTGTAACCAGAGGATAAAGCATCCAATTCGCTCCATTCTTGTAAGCTTGGTGTTGCAACTCCAATGTTCTTCATGTCCAAAATATTGGCTGGTTCAGAGAATTTGGTGTTTCCACGTTAGTCATGACTCATGGGTATATATCGTTCAACAAACCAATTCAAAGCTATATAACGAATAATATGCTCTTGTGAAATATTCTGATATGTAGAACTCGTTTGACTCTGATCAATGGATCAGATTGAGAGTATGATGTAAAGTGCAGCAATAACAATGGCCCTGTTAAGCTCATGAATCCTTTCTCCGCGTGAAAGTGTGGTAGAATAGTTACAATAACGTCACTCATTCGATCACATCCGTAAGATCAATGTAAATGATTTTACTTGCATTCAGTTGGGAATAAGAAGAGATAGCAAAAACTTTTAAGTACTTTGCTTATACTACCCCAAATCTTTTGACAGAATCCATCAATTGTTTATGTCATCAGCACTATATTAGTGGCTCAAACAGGAATTTTGAAGTACTTGTGAAATATATCAACAGAATAAGCTTATAAAAATCTAAAACATAACATGCAGTTTATTTCATGCCATCGCTAACTCTCGTTTCAGACACAAGAAGCCAATAACAGAATGACACCAATCCTCCTCCCCGTAGAAAAGCTTTTTCTTGCACATTAGTTACAAATTAACAATTGACAATCTTTACTGGCCAAAATCCAAATCACAACATGCACGCCTACAACTCATCCACAAGAAAGAATCTAGTTCCAAGATCTCTCCGGTGTATCTTTGCAGTGCTTCCTTACATTAGCTAGCTGGATACTTCAAGCTATCATTTCTGACCATCATATAAAAAATGTAATTCGCCGCTCCCACAACCTTTCCCAACTTTTTTTCTGTCTCTTCTAAGTTCCATTTCTCTTCCCACTCTGTTTCCACCAGGAAATGGTGAGAGCCTGTAGTTTTCATCGGAAACTCTCTAGTCATACTATTAGCCTGTAGTTTTAATGGTACATTTGAAATATTGTTCAGGGTTGAATGTTGAGAATGAGGCTTTTGAGTTAAAGAAGATGCCCAGAACGACAAAATTTCTAGAACCTTTTCCTGGTATTTCAAGATTTCTACTTTTGACTTCTGTTAACATATTCTGAAAACTATTCCAGAGAAAAATAGGTCCCAGAAAACATTATCAGCCATTTGCCTGCAGAACGATGAAATAACAAGAGATAAAACATATCTAGGTAATCCCATCGAGGATTGATTGTATATAAGTTATCAATAATCTCATCAGCGCTCCTTCAAACTTAACATGTTGAATCATATCAAGGATATGAGCCATGTGTTCACATCCTCATTCCTCACTTTTCAATCTATGATGCAAAAGTTATGTGTAGGATCCAAATCAAACCTTAAGATCATATAACATTTGATCAAATGACATGGAGACAATCATAATTCCAAATTCAAGTCATTCATATTAATTGTACTTTTGAACCGAAGATCCTCACAAATGATTAATTTTTTGTCAGCTCTCCTTAGCTTAAGTTTTTGGAAAATGCACCACAACAATTAACAGTCTTACATTAGCATCAAAGAAACAGAAATCACATACCAGCATGTACGTCAGGTGTAGCAGCGGCCGTGGCGTCAAGAATAACTGTAACATACTTGTAATCCAAAGCAACGCCATCAAACACAGTCTGCCTAATGCAATTTGGAGTCTGAACACCTAAAATGCAAGACCAACAAATTACAAGCTTGTAAAACACACATTTCATAAACAACCATTAGGGTTTTTCCAATAATTGAATCTCTCACTCACCAGTGACAACCAAACTGTCAATTCCAGAACCCTTGAGAAACGAATCGAGGTGCGTAGCAAAGAATGCACTAAACCGGGTTTTGACCAACTTGTAGTCCCCTTGTTCAATCACAAGACCATCAACAAGTTCAGCACCTCTCTCACCCTTAACAGTTGGCCCTACTTTCCCTGCCGGATATAAGTGCCGGCGAAAAAGCTCAACATCTCTTCCTAGTGGATCATGTTCACGCACAACCTACAATAAATGTCAAAATGAAGCATTGCAAATCCTTTTTAACTGTAAAACTGTAAACTAAAGTGAATAATATATCTACCCCACTATTAAAATCAAATCAAAACACACTTTTTTCTTAATTACACATTAAAGTTCATATTTTCATTGTTCAACTTCTAGTTTGCAGAAAGTAGAAGATTCAACTTAAAATTAACAAAGGGAAAGGAAAGGAAGTTGGCTGTACCCAAACTACTTGAATCCCACGCTGCCTAGCGATTTGGACCGCCTTGATTACATTTGGAACTATGGCTTTGCCTCCATTAATCAGCATAGGACCATCCACATCAATGAAATCATGCTACAAAACAGCATATATATATATATATAATATGAGATCCTAATGATCTATTAATTTCCCTTTAACTGAGAGAGAGAGAGAGAGAGAGAGAGAGAGAGAGAGAGAGAGTTTGGGGGAGAGAGAGAAACCTGCATGTCAATGACAAGGAGAGCTGTGTGCTTCCATTTATCTGCCATGTTTGAGTTCAGAGAGTCAATTGGAGTGATGACAGACGAAGAGGTTGGCAACTTGTTTGCAGCTTCAGAAAGATAGCACAAATAATAAAAAAAAAGGCCCATATATGTTTTTAGACTTGGACTGGGCTTTTCATTTGGACAAAGGACCTTATGCTTCTTTCTCCTCAAAGATTATGGATTCAAAATGTAAAATCCATTTTGAACAATTTTATATCTTCAACATGTGGTGGCTGATGGTTCTTTTGAACAAAATTAAAACATCTAAAGCAAAAGTGTACAACTTTTGTATTGATATCACGTTGGACATGTTTGATGTAGTCTCGTTAAAACATTGGCAGCAAAAGATCAATGAGATGAAAAACCTATTTGAAGAGAAAAAAGGGTTTGATAAAATACTTTTGGTTCCTCCCCTGATTGATATCTTCCAGTGATCGGGACAAATTTCAATCAGATTTTTTGGTAATTTGACGCATTCTAATACGACACACTCACTTCTGGTCTGCAGACCTCGGTAGAGCTTGGTATCGATTTCTTTACATTTCTTATATTTGTGTGTATCATCTTTAGGTGATACAAGCTGCATTATGATCATCCCTGACAAATGAGGGATTATTTGTTTCCAATATGACGAACTAAAAGTTTTAACCTAACACATTATCTGTGAGCTTTATGTAGAGCAAAAATTTATGAAAGATTCGAACATGCAACTCACAATAAGAGTTTTTGGAAATAAAAAACAAACAGGATGGTTTCTCTCCTTCAGTGACATGTTTTCAAGACCACCATTTTCCCTCTTACTCAGATTACCTCATTTGATATAACAACTACTTGAAAACCCCCGACCACTGAAAACAATACGAGAAATTTCTCACAATTCTTATGTTAGGAGCAAAGTAATGGACCGAATGAGTACAAAAGAAACTGTACACAAGATTTTGAAAGTTTGTATAAATATAAGGAACTGGTTCTAACTCGAACAAAATATAAGTTACAGCCAACTAACACTAACGTTGTCAAGCCATGTAAACAGAGGGAACTGAGCCAAAGCAATAAAGAGCAAGAGAAATTGCTTGAATCGTAACTCCTCACATCCGCGAGAGAGAGAGAGAGAGAGAGAGAGAGAGAGAGAGAGAGAGAGAGAGAGAGAGAGTTTCGAATATTGACAGATTGAAATACCAAAAACACAAATAAACAAACACTCATAGAAACACTCAATTGAAGCCATGATGCAGTTCACGAAGCAAAGGACCGACCAATCCACAATTAAAAAACAAGCAACAATAACAACAACAAAGCATTTTTTCATTAAGTGTGGTCGGCTATGTGAATCTTAGAACACCAATGCGCTCGGTTCTGTGTCATGTCCTCTGTTAGATCCAAGTACTCTAAGTCTTTTCTTAGGGTCTCTTCCAAAGTTTTCCTAGGCCCTGAATCTCTGTCCCGTAATCACATATTCGAACCGGAGTGTCAGTAAGCCTTCTTTGTACATGTCCAAACCACAGTAACCGATTTTCTTTCATCTTTCCTTCAATTTCGGCTACTCCTACTTTACCTCGGATATCCTCATTTCTAATTTTATCATTTCTCGTGTGCCCATACATCCAACGAAACATCCTCATCTCCGCTACACCCATTTTATGTACGTGTTGATGCTTCACCGCCCAAAATTCTGTGCCATACAGCATCGCCGACCTTATTTCCGTCCTATAAAATTTTCCCTTAAGCTTCAGTGGCATACGGCGGTCACACAACATACCGGATGCACTCTTCCACTTCATTCATCCAGCTTATATTATATGTTTGAGGTCTCCATCTAATTCTCCGTTCTTTTGCAAGATAGATTCTAGGTAGCGAAAGCGGTCGCTCTTTGATATTTCTCGATCTCCAATCCTCACCCCTAACATCATCTACAAGCAAGTGATAAAAAAGATTTTGACTTTGAGATGACAATAGCTAATTGTTTTACATTGATATCCAAGTGAAAGATATTTCTCTCTTCAAGAGTAAACGCACATAGAATACTCCTTTACGATCCCAGTTCATGTGCAGTGCATTTATAATTTTATATAGAAGGAAAAAAAAAGAAAATAAAACTAGTGCATCAACAGGGCTCTTGGTTTCTCTAACACAAGAACTAAATTTGGCCTCATGATAATCAGTAAAAGAGCAGTATGGCCTGCTAAAAGAGTCTTTGGCCTTGTACTCAGCTACATTTTGGTCATATAATACTCCAACTTATAAGAAAGCATGCCTCCTACTGGTTCAATTATATTGGTCCATTGGCCCTGAAAAAAGAGAGAGCAAGGTGAAAGAGTAAGTTCTATGGTTGGCGGATAATCTGATTTCACATGGAAAAAAAATAAAATAAAATCCAAACGTTGGTACTTACCCTGTGGAGAAATGGAAATATAACAACCTTCAATTTGTTCTTCACATACTGGTCATTCACTTGGAAATAGTATTGGGGATCAAAGAAATACCTACTGATCTGTTCATTTCAACAAAAACTATCAAAACAAGTTCAATTATCTTAAATTAATACAAAAGTATGAACCATTTTTAACATTTATGAAGCACTAGAAATAAAAGGGCTAATCTAGTCACTTGGAACAATCACACAAGACCATTACTGTTCACAACAGTTGAATACAATTTACATAAATTCGAGATCAATGCATAATGTTTTACTTAGCATTATATGATGATAGAATTCTATGAAATTGAACTACACAGTGCAACATCTCGGAAAAAAATTCCAACTTGTGCATCGGAACAGTACGTACAGATTACAATACAATCTACCGATCTAGATAATGGAATATCAACCCTTCACCAAATGACGAGCATCAGAGGACAAACAAACAAAACCAAAAATTGCACAACCAAAATCTATGTAAAAAGGTTCATTCGATAATGTCCATCCTTTCCTTTTATATCAAGCATCATCTACAACAATTTTTTTTTAAATAATTATAATTAATTATGTTTGTACCATACTTGACCAATTCTGAAATTACTAAGCACCGGTCAATGTCATACCTTCAAGAACCCACTGAGGGGTTCATACTGAGGCACCCTTGCCAAAGCACAAGAGTTTCCCTCCAACCAAGAGGCCAATCACAGCACGATACATGTAACAACTCATCTTGGAATTTATGGAATGGAAGGGTATTTTCGTATTTTCATTTTGGTTGGGTTTTATTTATTTAAAATATTTCTTTTTGGTGTTAAATGGTCTGCCTAAGGGGGCCCACCCTTGATTTTTGGTCCCCCGGCTCTCCCCTCTCTTTCCTTGCCACGTGGCACCCCACTTCTCCTCACCCCACTTTCTCTCTTCCTCTCAAACTCCCCCGAGCCCTCTCTCTCTCGAGCCTCTCACTCCTATTATCTCCGGCAAACCCTTCGAACCACCACCCACCCTTTGCAGCTCCGACGAACACCACGAACCACCACCATCCTCCGGCTTCTTTCCTGCATCTTTGAAACTCGGTGAAGACACAAGAATCATCGAGCTTCGGTACGGAGGAGGAACTCCGGCGTGATTCCTCAATTTTCTGATTAGGGTAAGCTTCAGAATACTCTAAACTCCTCCATCTTCGTTCTTAGGGTTTAATTCTAACCTAGATTGTGGGTTTTTGGAACAACAAGATAGCATAGAGATGCCTCAGAAGCTTTTCCAGTTTTCGGCGAGAACCCGGCAGATTTCGAGTCACTTTCCGGTTAGCTCCGGCCACCACACAACTTAATTGGTATGAATCGAATCCTTGTCTCCCTAACTTCATTTTGGTATGTTACATGCTAGGGATAGTTGTGAAATGGAGCTCAATCGGAGCTCGACAATTCCCTAGTCAATTTTCGGCCTTCTTCTTATTTAGGTTTGGTGACCCACGAACCTAGCCAATTAAGTAACCTGGCCTAAACTTTGGGCCACGTAAACTCTGCCTAAAACCATTGGCCCAATCCCTCACTCCATTAGCCCAACCCCATAACCTTTTAACCCAAAACCCAAATGACTTAAGGCCTTTGGGCCATAGAACTGGCTCACTAGCCCTCGGCCTACTAACCCAGTAACCTTAAACCCATAACCTTTTGGGCCAAGCTACCAAGCCTAAACCCGAAACCCTTTGACCTAACCCAGAATAGAGCCCAGGACCATCGGCCCAACCCAGCGGTCGGTTGACTCGGCTCGTTTAACTTCCGATCAACGCTGACCGTTAACTTTGACCGTTGACCGTTGACTTGTCAATGTTGACTTTTTTGGGTTTCAGTTGGGACCCCTTCTAGACTAATTTTGAAGTCCTGAATCCGTTTTTGAAGTCTGTTTCTTGAAATTCAATCGTTATGATAGAGTTTTATTAATTGGATCCGGTTAGGTGCATTTATTGTGGCATTACCCTCTTTGCTAGTTTGTGTGGCTCTTCGACGGCGAAGTATCTATGAGTGGACCCCTTTTAAAATGCATATTTTACTATTAGAAATGCATACATGAAAAACATGATTTAATGGTTGCGTTTTATGAAACGTTTTATGTGTAAATTAGATTTACACTTTATGATTATCATGCTTAACTGAGAATATTTTGGAATACGATACTTCATCGAATTTATGTTCTTGGTAGTATATATGATGGATGACTATATACTATTTATGAACATGTTTTTACACTCTTTGTAGTATATATGATGGATGACTATATACTATGAAGATATTTTTGAGATATATGTACTTATGTTGGAAAGATTATATTCAATATTTTTGTGTGTATCTAGTGGTCATTGTTCTACCTACGGGTGATGATACTTATATTGGCTTCGACCAGGCATAGGTTGGTGGCTTCAATAGGACTTATATTGGCTTCAGCTGGGTGTAGGTTGTTGGCTTCGACCGTATGATACTGATATATGATACCACTATTAAGCACACTATATGATATATGTTTTACGAAGGTCTTATGGCATGCTAGGGTTTTCTGAAAACCTATTACATATTATACTATTGAGTTTTCATAAAACTTTGGGGGTTAGTACGTTGATGAATAACTGTTTCAGTATTATATATATATATATCAACTTGGTTCACTCATGTTTTGTTTT